CGAAGTTGCCGTTCGTTTTTTCGTTTTTTTTTTTTTTTTGGTAGAATAAAATGGTATCCTTTTTTCTTTTTTTGCCATTTTTTTTTCTTCTGAAAATTGCACCGACCGGGCGTTGGTTTCCCCGACCCCCGAAAGTTGCGGCACGCTAACGACCGCGACATTTTTTTATAGCAGGGCGAGGTACTGGTGGTTTAATACGTAACTCATAGCGCATAATCGACTGGGAACTGAGGGTGCAAGGGGGGATGGGCCGGGGGTCTTCCCTGGTAGGAATCGGCCCTGCGGCGAACTGGTGCGGGTTACAGGATCGATAACCTTGCCCCCTCAGCATGAACAATAACACAACCCCTAATACGGCAATAATAGTAGGCTATGCTAGGAACACGGCACCCAGGTTGGGTCAGAAGGCCTGTCTTAGGTAAGACCATGGTCAGGGTAGAACCACTAGACACTGCCTAGGGAAAGGCTCTAAGGAATATTTGCTGTTTGACCAAACCTGGGCTGGTGCTCATAGGAAAAAAAAAAAAAAAAAAAAAAAAAAGAAGTATGATAGAAAAGACAGAAGGGAAGTCGCCTCAGCCCAGTCCGAGCCACCACGAGTGAGGGGATCACAATACCACGAGCGTCGAACACATTGGCAGCCCTTCTATAGGGGGGCCCATGCTGGCCGGGAAACATCCCCAAGGTACCCAGATACAGCGTGGATCACCCTAGTACTCCACTCTTACTCTGCTTTTCTTTTTTTCTTTTTTTTTTCCCTTTTTTTCCCTTTTTTATTAAAGCCACTATCCCGGTAGTGGTAAGAGAACGACCGGAATTGAGGCTTTAGCTGTTGGGCTGCTCAATCTATTGATGCTGTTATATAACTTACATTCATGGATCTGTGGTTTTCGACACCAGAATGACGCTGGCCGGTGCTGGGGGGTCGCCTTGTAACCTGTTGATAGCAGGAGTGTGAGGCCTGGTAGAGAGATCTGGGGATGCCTTGGGGCGGGCATTCCAAGGGAAAACCAAGGGTTGTTGTAGGGACGACGCTGGCCGGAGCTGGGGTGAGTCGTGTTGCCCTGTAACCTAGCAGGGTGGGGCCATGAGGCCTGGGAGAGCTCGGCAGGGAATAAGACAGTGTTAGAGAATTTTAGAGGGTTTTCTTAGGGATTCCAGGGGTTCTGAGCATTCGAAGGAATTCTGTGGCTTTCCTTTTTGACTTAGTAACTGCTACTTGAATAGCCTAGCAATAGGTCCGCAGTTATCTACGTTTTTCCTAAATTTTCCTGAACTCCTTTAATAGTTCTCAGATTGTTCTTAGCCAAAGCCAAGTAATGTCCCTGGTATTTCAAATGACTTGTATAATTCTATATGGGACTCCGGGCCCAGTTTCCAACACGTGCCGCTCCCTACGAATAGACTGGAGCATTTGTTCCCCCCCCCCTTTCCCCCCCTCAAACACACATAAAAAAAAAAATAATAATAAAAAAATTTGGGACTATACAAAAGGGCGATGGAAAACCGGAGCTGAGCTAAGAACAACCCTCAAACATGTGAAAGGGCTCAATGATAAGCTCCGGGAACTCCAACAGGCAGTATCGTTGGACTGGATAGCGGCCCTGCAGCAGGGCCCCCAGGTACAAGAGGGAGATTGGGTAATCATGCACTCCACCCTACCCATCACTATGCTAATTTACAAAGTAGGCACAAAGGAAGGTCTCACTGCCAACCTGGAAGCCTTTGAGCCCGCCTTGCCAGGCGCAAGATTGTCCAAACTCACATGCAATGGGGATCATGACAAACAAAGCAATTGGTCGAATCCAATTAGGGTGAGAGTTGTGGGTGACGACACAGAGAGATGGTGGGGCTATGAGACATTGACACCCATTTGTTCCCTCCCCTTTGATCCAGCAGAATGGCAATGGGGAGGGAAAACACCCCTGCCCATCTGGA